GCTGGGTTAAGGAGGTGATCAGGTCAAGACATCCATCAGGCTCCTGACTGATTGTGTGCATCGTACCTCCATGATGTGCCCCAATGTACCCTGGTTGAGACAGGTGCCCAGCACGTCATGGCTGGGTTAAGGAGGTGATCAGGTGAAGACATCCATCAGGCTCCTGGCTGATTGTGTGCATCGTACCTCCATGATGTGGATACTTGCTCGTGTTTTCAGTCTTTGGTTTGCCTGGTCTAGACTCGATTATTGACATGCCGCCTTGATAGAATATTGAATATTATATATTGCTAAAAGTGTCTTTAATCAACATTCACTCATTTCTGAATAAGACCCTTGAAGATACAGAGTAGAATAGGTCTTCAGCAACCTACGCTTGCCATAACAGGCGACTATGCTTGTGGTAAGAGGCGACTATGCTTGTCATAAGAGGCAACTAACGGGATCGGGTGGTCAGGCTCGCTGACTTGGTTGAGGCATATCATTGTATCCCAATTGTGTGGACTGATGCTCATGATGTCAGTCACTGGATTGTCTGGTCCAGACTCTCGGTTATTTACTGACCTCCGTCAGTATATATATATAATTTCTGAGGTCTGTGTATGGACTCATGGAAAAAAACCAGATTTTCAAATTTGAGTTTCCATTCCACATTTGTGGAATCATCATATCTGTATACCCTTTAATATGGCGTCCCCAGATGCCATCAAGACCACTCTGCCCACCACTCTGCCTCCCACAGCATCAGTGTACCCATCCACCAATCAATGGCTGGTTATGTAAGGATGGCAGCGAGTTCAGTCGAGTCAATACGTTGTATAATTCACGACATGGAAATGACGAGCTGGGACCTAAGTAGGCAAGGGATGGACTGGTTCACCGGGCGCCCACATATTGATCTCGGGCGCTCGAGAAAGTGCAATCACTGGTTGTGTTGTCACAGATGAGGAGCGCCTCAGTGCGTGGCGTTGATGGTGGTTCACAACAATAGATACAGGACAACAAACACTGCTTACAGAGAATGGCTTGTGCAAACTTCTGATTTTAGTCTATATGTTTTGGATTGTGAACAAGACAAATCACTAGATGTTATTTGTTAGGGGATAAATAGATTTTTAGAAATAATGCTGAGTCATACATGGTTTTAAAAATAGAAAATTATGATTTTGTCAAGTATGCATTTTACATCATATGATATTGAAGATAATTAATATTTATGAAAATCATGATATACTATGTTATTAAGAAACTTAGGATATTGATGATTAGTGACAATGTAAAAATGAATGATTATGATGTATAACTTGTGTAAGGCTTGTATGGATTGATCAATCTCTGTGTACACAACAAACCACTGGTCAGGACAGACAAGGGTACAGGTGTTAATGGTTTTTAGGAGAAAATGAGTTTGTCACCTGGATCAGGTAGATTGGGTTGGCGCTCACTCGTTACTGTCATGCAATAATGAGAAGTTTCATATACGTTCTCTGTTTTCAATTTAGAGCTAGGTTACCTGTAGATTAAATTGTGAATTTTAGAAAATTTTCATATTGATCATAGCATGTATTTTAAGCCTTGATAGTAGGGCTGGGATGAGTCCAAATTTACTACCTGGGTACCCTACCCCCCTATTACCCGACCCTACCTGGGTACCCCACCCCCCTATTACCCGACCATACCGGGTACCAACTGTAGGTCTCTTGGATAGGTACAAAATGTCTGATAGGGAAATGTTTGACCATACTCCTGTCAAAATGTATTTAGATACACATATAAACTGATCTGGTCATGCATACACTGAAGTTGACTGAAGTTTTATCATTATGCAAACATATAAAGTCAGAAGGAATGTGTGCATAGTCGGAAAGAAATGTGAACATTTAATTTTTGTCATTAAACAATATAATCATGTGACTAACCAAAGGTCCAGGTAGTCCTGTGGGTACCCGGGTCTTACTCAGGAACCACCCGACCCGAATACCTGAGTTTCCCGTCCCAGCCCCACTTGATAGCCATTTTGAAGAGGCGACTAACAGGATCGGGTGATCAGGCTCGCTGGATTGTCTGGTCCAAACTCGATTATTTACAGACTGCCGTCATATAGCCATGCATATAGCTGGAATATTGCTGAGTGCAGCATTAAACAACAAACAAACAAACAAACAAACAAACAAACAAACAAACAAACAAAACAGATGTTTAAAAGAAATTGTTCATGCCAAAAACAGCTATGAAAGTAGTTATCTTTGTTACTATTTTTTTTTACAATTTGTGACTGTTATCCCCAAAATGAAAAACTATCTTCAACATCCAGTAGCAATATTCAAGCCATGATGACATACACTCATCCAGGTTAAACATTACGACCGCCGGATCCTCAGCAGTCTTCCCTTGGACACACAGATCTATTCTACCCCAGAAGGTGTGAGAGTGTGATGGTGCTGGGTGTGCCTCACAGTCAGATATCTGACATGTATCGGACTAACATGTCGCCAGTCTACAGTCAGGTATCTGACATGTATCGGACTAACATGTCGCCAGTCTACAGTCAGGTATCTGACATGTATCGGACTAACATGTCGCCAGTCTACAGTCAGGTATCTGACATGTATCGGACTAACATGTCGCCAGTCTACAGTCAGGTATCTGACATGTATCGGACTAACATGTCGCCAGTCTACAGTCAGGTATCTGACATGTATCGGACTAATATGTCGCCAGTCTACAGTCAGGTATCTGACATGTATCAGACTAACATGTCGCCAGTCTACAGTCAGGTATCTGACATGTATCGGACTAATATGTCGCCAGTCTGTAGTCAGGTATCTGACATGTATCGGACTATCATGTCGCCAGTCTACAGTCAGGTATCTGACATGTATCAGACTAATATGTCGCCAGTCTGTAGTCAGGTATCTGATGTTTATCACACTAACATGTCGCCAGTCTGTAGTCAGGTATCTGATGTTTATCAGACTAATATGTCGCCAGTCTGTAGTCAGGTATCTGATGTTTATCACACTAACATGTCGCCAGTCTGTAGTCAGGTATCTGATGTTTATCAGACTAATATGTCGCCAGTCTGTAGTCAGGTATCTGATGTTTATCACACTAACATGTCGCCAGTCTGTAGTCAGGTATCTGATGTTTATCACTCTAATATGTCGCCAGTCTGTAGTCAGGTATCTGATGTTTATCAGACTAACATGTCGCCAGTCTGTAGTCAGGTATCTGACATGTATCAGACCAACATGTCGCCAGTCTGTAGTGAGGTATCTGATGTTTATCAGACTAACATGTCGCCAGTCTGTAGTCAGGTATCTGACATGTATCAGACCAACATGTCGCCAGTCTGTAGTCAGGTATCTGATGTTTATCAGACCAACATGTCACCAGTCTGTAGTCAGGTATCTGATGTTTATCAGACCAACATGTCGCCAGTCTGTAGTCAGGTATCTGATGTTTATCAGACTAACATGTCGCCAGTCTGTAGTCAGGTATCTGACATGTATCAGACCAACATGTCGCCAGTCTGTAGTCAGGTATCTGATGTTTATCAGACCAACATGTCACCAGTCTGTAGTCAGGTATCTGATGTTTATCACACTAACATGTCACCAGTCTGTAGTCAGGTATCTGATGTTTATCAGACTAACATGTCGCCAGTCTGTAGTCAGGTATCTGATGTTTATCAGACTAACATGTCGCCAGTCTGTAGTCAGGTATCTGATGTTTATCACACTAACATGTCGCCAGTCTGTAGTCAGGTATCTGACATGTATCAGACCAACATGTCGCCAGTCTGTAGTCAGGTATCTGATGTTTATCACACTAACATGTCACCAGTCTGTAGTCAGGTATCTGATGTTTATCAGACTAACATGTCGCCAGTCTGTAGTCAGGTATCTGATGTTTATCAGACTAACATGTCGCCAGTCTGTAGTCAGGTATCTGATGTTTATCAGACTAACATGTCGCCAGTCTGTAGTCAGGTATCTGATGTTTATCAGACTAACATGTCGCCAGTCTGTAGTCAGGTATCTGATGTTTATCAGACTAACATGTCGCCAGTCTGTAGTCAGGTATCTGATGTTTATCACACTAACATGTCGCCAGTCTACAGTCAGATATCTGACATGTATCGGACTAACATGTCACCAGTCTACAGTCAGATATCTGACATGTATCGGACTAACATGTCGCCAGTCTACAGTCAGATATCTGACATGTATCAGACTAATATGTCGCCAGTCTACAGTCAGGTATCTGATGTTTATCAGACCAACATGTCGCCAGTCTACAGTCAGGTATCTGATGTTTATCAGACCAACATGTCGCCAGTCTACAGTCAGGTATCTGATGTTTATCAGACCAACATGTCGCCAGTCTACAGTCAGGTATCTGATGTTTATCAGACCAACATGTCGCCAGTCTACAGTCAGGTATCTGATGTTTATCAGACCAACATGTCGCCAGTCTACAGTCAGGTATCTGATGTTTATCAGACCAACATGTCGCCAGTCTACAGTCAGGTATCTGACATGTATCGGACTAACATGTCGCCAGTCTACAGTCAGGTATCTGATGTTTATCAGACCAACATGTCGCCAGTCTACAGTCAGGTATCTGATGTTTATCAGACCAACATGTCGCCAGTCTACAGTCAGGTATCTGATGTTTATCAGACCAACATGTCGCCAGTCTACAGTCAGGTATCTGATGTTTATCAGACCAACATGTCGCCAGTCTACAGTCAGGTATCTGATGTTTATCAGACCAACATGTCGCCAGTCTACAGTCAGGTATCTGATGTTTATCAGACCAACATGTCGCCAGTCTACAGTCAGGTATCTGATGTTTATCAGACCAACATGTCGCCAGTCTACAGTCAGGTATCTGATGTTTATCAGACCAACATGTCGCCAGTCTACAGTCAGGTATCTGATGTTTATCAGACTAACATGTCGCCAGTCTGTCAAGTGTTTGGTTTTCTTGTACAGGAGAGGACATCAAGCACCCGGCCAAGGGCACCGTCGTGGCCCGGGAGGAGGACAGTAAGGTGGCCTATGTTCAGCTGGTGAGTGCAGTCCTACATACAAATTAGAACAAGCATGAAATACTCATTTTCCTGTCAATATGACATGTCTGGTTGTGTGCAAGGCAAGAAATATTGTATGGTTTTCAAGATCTGCTCCGCGAACAAGCACTACCACCATTTTCAGTCTGAGTCTCGAAATAATTTTTTCAAAAATCACCATTTCTCCACTAGACCTATCTATGTGCCATGTTTGGTTAAGATATCTCTTGCGTTTTTTTAGTTCTGCTCCAGAAACAAAACGTGACGGACTGAAAATGATAAAAATATACTGAAAATTGCTTGTATTTTTCCATCAATGCAATGAATGTGTTCACCACACATATATTGTACCAATTACTGCTTTTAACGGCAAAACCATAGGTTACATCAGGTTTCATGATAGGACAAACACTCACTGCATTATATTCAGCTCCAGGTTTTGAAAAACTAAATAATAATTATGTTCTGAAAGTACTTTTTCTATTTTACTTTCTATTCCCACTTACTGACCAAGACTTTTTACATTCTGTAAACATGATATATGTTTGCCATGTTAGTGGAGTCAAATGATTGTCCGATCTTTTGGATTCGAGTCATTTCGAAAAACCCTTGTTTGTGAACTTTATATGAATTTTGATCCAGCAGTCAATGATTTAACATAGCAGTGATAACCAAGGTATGTCACAATCTCCACTGAAATGAGCAATCCATCATGGAATGTAGTCCTGCTTGTCCATCCGGGGTAGAATAGGTCTTCAGCAACCCATGCTTGCCATAATAGGCGACTATGCTTCTCGTAAAAGGCGACTAACAGGATCGGGTGGTCAGGCTCGCTGACTTGGTTGATGCGCGTCATCGTATCCCGATTACGTGGATCGATGCTCATGATATCAATCACTGGATTGACTCGTCCAGACTCGATTATTTATAGACCACTGTCATATAGCTGGAATATTGCTGAGTGCGGCGTTAAACAACAAACAAACCAAACCAAAACCTGCTTGTCTAACATAGAAGTACCAGTATATTTTTACAGACCGCCGTCATATAGCTTGAATATTGCCGTGCGCGGCAATAAATAGCAAAAACACAACAACATATTTTCATTATTTGTCTGGTTTCCATAGCTGAATAGCCTGAACAAGCCCTATGCATGTTACATCTTAGCAACCAGGAAGGAAGTCATTTCATAATCTGGTCCACCCCAGTTATTCTCAGTTTTAGAAAAGTTTTATCCAGCACAGCCTACAATAGATGTGATTGACCTAGCATATGGTCCCTACTGAGATTTTCCTTGTAAATTCATGTTTCCACATCAAAACAACACTGACCCCTGGAAGCCAGTCAAGGTCATCTTGCTTCTGGGGTAAGAGCATCAGTGCTGGGTTGGGTGCTGTAATCAAGTCCATTGTTATTCCCAGTCAGTGTAATTACAGGGATATTGTTCCTGTGGATGACCAGTAGGAGGATGTGATGGTCACTTAGTGTCTTCTGTGTGCCGAGATATCATGATGGTGACCGCCTGTACAGCGAACAGGGGCCAATCCATTTTAGGTCAAAGGGGGTCGGAGGAGGAGGTCGTCAGATTTAATATTCTTAACTTCAGTGGGTGCTTCAAGTTTATATACTACTCCACTTTTGAGAGGAATATTTTTATCTTTTCATGATACACAAAACTATTTTTTATGTCAAGTGAATATTTAAATATACTGAACAAAACAAGTTAGGGATCATGAATATTTTTCAGGATATTTACATGAAATTGGGCTCAGTTTTCACTACAAATTTAATATCCCCACAAACCTTTCATAATCCCTAACATTTTTTCTTCAGTATGTTTGACATAACTGATTTTCCTGATAAAAAATTGAGTCATATACATTAGATATTAGAATGAGTTGTGGAATATTACACTTTGAATTGTTAGCTGCAGTGAGTGTGTTTTGGGATGGTCAACTCTTCAGTGAGGGTGGGGGGTAGGGGGTTGTCACACGAGACACAGATGGCAGCAGATACTGGTCGATTTGTCATATTTTCGATAATGCAAAGATATTATTATATTTTTAAAAATTTAGTCCCACTTTAACCACTTGAGTAAGCATTCAAAAAGAACATTTTTTTATATTTTTTTGAATATTGTGCGCACAGAAGCACAATGCGCAACTCCTCTAGGGGATTCAGTATTTTTAAAGTATTATGCGCAATAGAAAACTGCATTGTATCCCTTAAGCGAATTCAGATATAGGAACAAGTGATAAAAATCTAATTGAATTATCTCTTAAAAATGTTTTATCTCTTACAGGGAGATGGTCACACATTTGACTTCCCGGACCTCTTTGTGGATGCGAAGCCCCCGACCGAGAAAGAAGTGGATGAGTTTAAGAAGACTAAACGAGATCAACAAGTAGCCGAGCGGAAGTACTGGGACAGGGCCAGTTTACCCCCTTGGTTCAGATAATTGACTGAACCGGATGTGTGTGTGTGTGTGTTCATAGATGACTGTGTAGAGAGTGCGGCAGAGACTGAAGATTCTCAATCTTTGCAGCATATTTCCTTATATTGTCTCCTGCATTTATCATTATTGTAAATAATACATTCTATAAACAGAATTATGATGTTGTTATTGTGTACTGTGAAACTTGGTGAATTCATCTTAACCGTTTCAGGTTTAGTGACAATTAATTGTTAATACAATCATATCCATTTTCTTTCCATAAGAAAGAACAGAACACACATCAGGATTTTCTTCCTTTGAAGGTACTTGGGATCTTCCTTTGTAGGTACCTGTACTTGGGATCTTCCTTTGTAGGTACCGGTACTTGGGATCTTCCTTTGAAGGTACTTGGGATCTTCCTTTGCAGGTACTTGGGATCTTCCTTTGTAGGTACTTGGGATCTTCCTTTGAAGGTACTTGGGATCTTCCTTTGTAGGTACTTGGGATCTTCCTTTGTAGGTACTTGGAATCTTCCTTTGTAGGTACTTGGGATCTTCCTTTGTAGTTACTTGGGATCTTCCTTTGTAGGTACTTGGGATCTTCCTTTGAAGGTACTTGGGATCTTCCTTTGTAGGTACTTGGGATCTTCCTTTGTAGGTACTTGGGATCTTCCTTTGAAGGTACTTGGGATCTTCCTTTGTAGGTACCGGTACTTGGGATCTTCCTTTGTAGGTACTTGGGATCTTCCTTTGAAGGTACTTGGGATCTTCCTTTGTAGGTACCGGTACTTGGGATCTTCCTTTGTAGGTACCGGTACTTGGTATCTTCCTTTGTAGGTACCTGTAATTGGGATCTTCCTTTGTAGGCTAATGAAATGAGGCCATGCACAAATCATGGGAGTCCATTCACCCTGCTTTACCTGACATTGAAGCTAGATGGCCACAAGACATGGCAGATGCTGCACAAGAAATATTGCCAATGTGATCTGAGCGCTCATTTTTCTGAGCAATGGTTTCCTTGACGCTGGTACAAGGCCATGGCTTGATTTGTTAGTTACAAATACCTATTACACAACGAATCTTCCCTATGTATTCAAGGTTGATGGAGGAACGTAGTGCATGTAAGTACTGATGTCGGAGTTGAGAAGTATACCCTCAAACAAGGACGGAGTATGTAAAGGGAGATAACTGCTCCAACATGACACAACACTGATGACTTTCAAGATGTTTATTTAATGTCATCAACATTATCACACAAAAATAGCTGGTATTATTCGGCTCATGATGTAGCATCTGTTTGTCTCATGCATAAACCAAATGTTGTATTTTGCATAAAATCACAGTTTATTTACAAAATAAATAATGTACAAAATGACCCTACTCAGGACAGTCTCCAGTACCGTCTCCTGTTGTTGTCTAACGTGTCACGCCTCTACACTCCACACGCGTTGGGATAGCTGAAGATGAGGTCAAAGCTGGATAAACATGTTTACAATAAACAAGGAATACCTGATATAGGGAAGGCTACCAGGAAAGGGACCACATGGTCGATCACTTTAGGAGATATCATCAATTGAATGACTAATTTTTGAGTGCTAAATGAGTGAAAAAAACAATTAACAAGGCACTACATCGTTGTTTTAAAGTCATTCAGTTCATTTTTTGGGTTATTTTGGAGGCATGATATTGTCGATTATGAATCCAAGCTTACGTCGGTACCGACCATGTGGCCCCTTTACTGGTAGCTTTGCCCTATTGATATTAATCACATACGTTCAGTTCCTGAATCCCTCAGTAACTAGAGTGTGTTATAATGTCAGTTCCTCACCCAGATTCACCCAACACTGAGCCATGGTCTCCATACCTGTGTTTCGTGGTTTCACAAAGATGGTAAAAGTCCAACACTTGTGTCACACTTTAGGCCTATCTTCTTGCACTCCACTGACACACCATGACAACTGAAATACTGTTAAAAAAATGAAAACCAACTCACTCCATTCCAAGGAGTAAATTGGATCTAATTCTATCAAAACATTTGTAACCATTTCACACACAAACATGTTCTGAAATCTGATATGTTAGTTCTGTGAATGCCGCCCTGTGCATCTAAACCAACCCTAGTGATTCTTCAGTGGGATTATATAATAGAAATAGGCACTTGTATGATTCAAAAGCTACAGTAACTGGCACTCAATCATTGTGATAACCAACTTTTATTTTATTAATATCATACAGGTATTAGCAAGATTTACTTATGTTACTGGGACCTGCCCATAATTGTTATCTCTGCAATGTGAAACTTCTCCAAAAAATATAAAGTTCTAAATTTCTTGCTTCAAGATGAAGCACATGGTCACAGGGATATATCAAGGTGTTCCCCAAGGCCAATATTTGGCCCAGACCTGCACCAATTGTCGGTGAACTTTCCACAATTGTAATCTTACAAATCAAGTTATCTATCATTTATTATAATATTTTGAATATTATATATCAGTTTTGAAAATGTGATTTGTATTTCACTGACAAGGCCAGCAAAGCTATAAAAGCTGTAATAATATCTTACACAATGACTTGTAATGAAATGCTAAGAATAATCTCCATTTGAATTTTGGACAAAATTCGTTTTTCTTTAACAGATATGCCTGCCTTGGACATTTAATTAAAATTCACTATAAATCCCTGAGTATCAATTCAAATAAATCCCCTTCCCTGTGCCAGATGTCCATTATAACTATCATTGCAATATGTCTTAAATACAAGCAATATAGTTAGTTCCCCTGGCGTTGCAAACCTCACCTTCACCTATCACACACGTTCTATAAATACATGCTGCAGAGCTGACATCCTGCCTCAGACAAGTGAGAAGTCTACAAAAATAAATACAAGGAAAATCCCAAACTCCACAGAAACTCGTAACTGAAAGACTCTCCTCGGGGTCTATCAATGATTGGTAGCTGTATCATTGTAGTTCAAGGCAATAAATATTGGCACATTTAATACATCACAAAAGCAAAATCTCCATTTTGAAATACTTTTCATTTTGCAAATGAAAAGTATGTTTTTTAAACTATGAAAATGGACTATGAACTATGATGAGTGGTGATTTGAATAAAAACCTTATGGATCAAAGTGTGATCCCAAATGCATTTGGTAACTAGAATTTCAGCATATTTAAAAGATATAGACTTTTTTTAATGGATCTTAACTCCGCTATTTACTATGTTGTGGTGATCAGAGGACACCTGCATAGGAGGTTTTGACAGGTAAACTTTGACTGCCCAATTTAAAAGAAGGATGCGCAGTTTCCTAAACGATTCAGCTTCATTTCTTTTTTTGTAGAAAATTAATGAAAACCCCCACAGAACAAATATTCCTTTTATGGTACTCCCTCTGGGGTGTGGAAGCTATGGCGCTCAGAAACAACAAGATGTTTGAGAGAGTGAATGAGTGTGTTTGGTTTAATGCCGCTTTTAACAGTATTCCAGTTATATCACAGCGTGTCAGCTTAATGTGGGAGGAAAGCCCGAAGTGATGCAGGTCTTAGACGTTTACCACTTCGGTGAAACCCATGAGCACGGGTATGGTGCTGACAAACCTAGAAACATAATCGGGGCGAACCGGGATTCGAACCCACAATCATAGGTTTCTGGCTTGCCCAAGGGACGCAACTCTGCACAGCGAATTGCGGCACCTTAGACGACTGGGCCACCCGTGCCCCCACAAGAGGTTTGAAATGTCCACCACAAATCTATGGCACAGCCCTGTTACTACATAAGGAACTTGTCACTTCAGTTCATTTTCAACATACAGAAATCAGATATGCTGATCTGAATGCTTCACACCCTCCTCACAAGAATTCAGCCTTGATGCTGATTGGCTGACTGGAAAGTCGACCTGACACGACCTCCGGTGGAAGTGTACTCAGCTTTTCACTCAGACAGCTATCATATCGGAGTTAAAGATCTGATTTTAATGAGATTGAGAGTGAGTTAAGTCCCACCCAGAGTTCCTAACCCATTACCAAGTTGCAGCGTGCTGTGAGATGTACCTTCATCACTAATCTTATTACAAGGAATATATGATCACAACTACAACAATGTAACTAAATAACTCATGTTTGGCAATTGATTCCGTTGTCATACCTATACAAAATTAATATTACACTGCAGAAACATAAATAACAATAATACATCATAAACGGATGCTGATCCCGATGACAGATTATGTTTCCGATTGTAATATGTCATGTCAACTATCCATCTCTTAAACAAAAAAAAATAGAAAAAATGTTTTTATTATCAGGACATTTAAAGTATGCCTTCTGAACAACTAATTTCTAAGGCAATCAAAATAAATCTTGTTCCAATATTATTGTAAACGTCAAAGAGTTATCTTTCCTTGTCACGTTTTCTGCGATACTACCTTATGAGGTGATATAAGCACAAAACCATCAGAGATATAGAAAAAGATTCTGATGAGAAACATTCTATTTTTTGGCCTTATTTTCAGCACCTTTCATTGAACCTCAAAAGGGCTTGGGACTCTGGAAAGCTTTAGTCATTTCATTAACTACTGGTAATGATAACTACAAGGTGAATATCCAATATAATTCCCTATTTGAAAATAACATTCCAATTCTGTCGTAAACCTTACTGTGTATAACACGTGATACTGTACCAATATTATCATGATTATACAGCTAACCTAAACATGTAGTATTAATATAATGATATATGCAAATATTATTCCACACGACAACACCTTGTCTATTTCCTAAGAATGTTCACTGAAACAATGATAACTGTTTTACATATGTACTCCAACACAGCACAATGTACAGAGTGTGGCCATTCATTCAATGCCTTGGTGTCTATTTTATCTCAAGAAAAACATTACCGTATTCGACGTAATAAGTGCCCTGCTCTAATAAGCGCCCATGGCAATATTTGCTAATATATATTGGCTAGTGAACAATCCCAATTAGCACCCCTTCCAATTGATCAATGTACGCAAGACTTTTTTTATTCGTCTATAATACGCAGCCATGTGTTATATGCACCCTTAATTATGGGTAATTGAATTCTGGAAAATATATCTGTCGTATATAAACATTTCAGGCTGTCAGCATAAACCACGAAATTTACGATCTATCAACTCTGCTTTATTTCACCAAAAT